AAAAATTTCAATATGGAGAGTTATGAATATGAATTAAGCAGTCCATTGATTTGAACAGAAATGGTCGTGTTATTTGTAAAGTATAGAAAAACCAGCCATCAAAGGAGTGGGTATTGACCAAGTATATAATCTCTGCTATAGCAACAATGAAATACTCTTGATTAACCATGGCCATAATGAATTTTGGGCAGCTCTTGAAATGCCATTTGGTGGTTTATTTCAACATAAATACTATATTTCATAACGTATGGTAAAAGTAGGGCTCATAGCAAATCAGATGTTTATATCTGAAATTTTCCTGAACTTGATATTTTGTATAAAGTATCTATCCCAAAGATTATAGGCAACACCTAGTGTGCATTTCCCTTGGGTATCTCAGAGTAACTAAAAATTAAGTTGTCCTAAACAGACTCATAACTTTCTGCCCCTTTAGCCTGTTCTTTTGTGGTGAATCACCCCTGAATGCTTGCTCTCCCTTATATTCCATATCCAGTCAGTCTCCAAATCTTATCACTTTTACCTCCTGTCTTATTTTCTTAGTGCTGCCATAACAGAAATACCACAAGTGGGTAGCTTTAATGAAAAGGAATTTATTTTCTTAACAGTTTAGAAGGCTAGAAGTCTGAATTCAGGGTACTTGACTGTAGGGAAAGGTCCTTTCTTGTCTATTTCAGCTTCTGGTAGCTGGCAATCCTTGGAGTTCCTGGGCTTGTACACTTGTCTGTCTCCATCATCTTCAGATAATGTCTGTCTTACCCCTGTGTCTGCCTTCTGCGCCTAATCTGCTCTTTGATGGCTGAGAAGTGATTGGCTTAAGACATACCTTCTACTGATGTAGTCTCATTAACATAATAGAAAAACCCTGTTCCCAAATGGGATTACATCCACTGGTATAAACCCATTTAGATTGAGTCGTTTCCTGACTCACAGTGACCTTATAGGACAGCGGTCATATAATAAATGATATGTGACCACATAATGATAGTCATAATTGTATTTTAAAAAAACAAAACAAAAACACTCCAGTAGCAAATGTAAAGGACTATTGGCAAAGTGGAGAGAGTCTGACGGCAGGGAGACCAGTTGGGACTCAGTTGCAGTTGACCCCAGTGCTCTCTCGATTATGGGAGCCCTGACCTTCTCCTAAGAAGCTCTGGTGGCCTGGTGGTTAAGCACTCAGCTGCTAGCTGAAAGGTCGGCCGTTGGAACCCCCAAGCCGGTCCACCAGAGAAAGATGTGGCTGTCTGCTTCCATAAAGATTTACAACCTTGGAAACCCTGTGAGGCCGTTCTGCTCTGTCCTGTAGGGTCCCTATGAGTTGGAATTGACTCGACGGCAGTAGGTTTTGGTTTAATCTTTACAGAAACAGACTGCCCCATCTTTTGCCCTCAGAGCTGCTGGTGGGCTCGAACTGCTGACCTTTTAGTTAGCCACTGAATGCTTAACCACTGTGCCACCAGGGCTCCTCCTCCATAGGCATAGGGGTTAGGATTTGCAACCTGTTTTGGGAGGACACAATTCAATCCTTAACACCTTCTAAAAAGCTTTTGAATCTATCCGGTTCTTTCTCTTCCTTTGGCCAGTAGTGTAATTCAGGCCACTATTGTTCTCATAGGAGTTAGCCCTGTAGCATAGCTGGTCTCCCTACCTCCTTCCAATCTGCCCTGCCCTTTGGCCAGTTCCTTCCCAACACTGCAGCTAGATTGAGTACACTAAAATGCAGATGATAAAATAAATAGATTTTAACAAGATTTACAGGGCCTTTCAGGATCTAGATCCTGATTCTTCTCTTTTCTCATCTGTCGCTACTCTTCCTACAGCCAAACTAAACTCTTTTCGGTTTTCCCAATGTACCATATGGTGTCCTGTCTGGGATTTTGCCCATGCTGGTTCCGCTGACTCTTTTCACAGGTCTTCGCTTTGGCTAACTTGTACTCATTCTTGGGACTCAGTTTAGACCCCCTCCTAGGAGGCCTTCCCTAATGGGGTACCCTTTCCGTGTGCTCTTAGGACATTGAGGATTATCCACTCACCCCACTATATTGTGATTCCTGACTAGATGTGAATGAACTTCTATAGAGCAGTGTCTGTGGCTTATTTGTCTTAATCTCTATGTGTATTTACTGTATGTTTCTGTTTATTTACTATGTAAGTTTCATTTTTACATAATTACATAAATAGTTTTTTATAATTCTTGGCTTATTTTCTTTTTATAACCTTGAGGTTTGTTCCTGTCTCAGGTGGAGGATGCACTGTCCTATCTGGACCAGGTGAAGCTGCAATTTGGTAGTCAACCTCAGGTCTACAATGATTTCCTTGACATCATGAAGGAATTTAAGTCTCAGAGGTAAATGACATACATGGTTGTACTCAAACTTTGTACTTGGAATGTTGAGTTTAGGGGGAAGGCTATAGCTTATTTTCATCTACTAGAAGAATAAAGGATGCCCCATTGTGGGGATTTAATTTTCAGGGTCATGCTTTATTGTATGTATTGCTTTATTGATTGAAATAACGGGAACTAGACCTTTGTTTTCTCCCTGTTGGTAAATTTTTCTTAATACATCATTTCTGTCATGGAGGTAGCACTGGTAGTGATGTAGGCTATTTAACTTTTGAATTGGTTGAAAACAGACACTGATATTTTGGTATGGTTCACAAATACAGGAGAGGAATTCATGGGAGCAGTATAGACGCATGCCCAGTAAATAATTTACACAAGTGTATAGAAAGCTTGATCTTGCTTGGGAAATATAGCTTTGGATTTACTTTCTGAATATCTGTTTGACAGGACTGTTACCATGAATGTATATTCTGTTCAAAATTGTGACTAAGCCTCTTTGAATCTAAAGTTAAATGGCTTTGGAATTTTAGAGTTCTTTATGTGTTGTTAATTTTGTATTATGCAGGTTGATTTTTACCTATTTTCTTGTTTATAGAGCTTAGTGGAAAGTGAATTTTTTTCTTACTGAAGTGTTTTTCAAGCAAGCCATCACTTTTATTTTTCTGTCAGCATTGACACACCAGGAGTGATTAGTCGGGTGTCTCAGCTGTTCAAAGGCCACCCTGACCTGATCATGGGCTTCAACACCTTCTTGCCCCCTGGCTACAAAATTGAGGTGCAAACCAATGACATGGTGAACGTCACAACTCCTGGCCAGGTTCATCAGATCCCCACCCATGGCATCCAGCCTCAGCCTCAGCCAGCACCCCAACATTCTTCCCAGCCTTCAGCCCAGTCAGCCCCAGCTCCTGCCCAGCCTGCTCCTCAGCCCCCACCTGCCAAAGTCAGCAAGGTGAGCTCTTGGAAAGTTTTGCATCATGTGAGTTACATCCCTAGAAAGCACCTCTTTCACATTTCCCTTTTATATAATACTTGGATAGATATATTATGTTGCAGTGATTTCATCAGAGAAGATGCAGTAATCACATAACTATAAAATAGTTCACGTTTACACACCAAATATTTAGATACCTGTTTAAATCTGTGGAGTCCCTGGGTGATTCATGCAGTTAAGCACTTGACTACTAGGTGAAAGATTGATGGTTCGAACTCACCGAGAGGCACCTTGGAAGACAGGCCTGGCGATCTGCTTTCAAAAAGTCACAGCCTTGAAAACCATACAGAGCACAGTTCTACTCAGCACCCATCGGGTCATCATGAGTCAGAATCAACTCGACAGCAGCTAAGAACAACAGTTTAAATCAGCACAACAGTCTGCAAGGACTCTTTTGCCCCCAGTTGCTGCTTATTGAACCCATGAGTATCCCAGCAGTTGGTGGCTTTGTATAATAGTATTTTAACAGTACAGGCAGACATGATCATCTTATCATGATCAAATTAAGCTACCTCCCACATGGTCATCATCTTACAAAACTTACTCCATTTAACAGATTAGGTCATATCAAGCCAAGCAGAAGATACTGTTGATGATGATGATGGTGGTGGTGGTATGTTCTTAGTCTAGAACTACGCTTTCCCAATAGAATAGCCACCAGCCACGTATGACTGTATTTAAATTAGTTAAAATATATTCAGTTTTTCATTTGCAGTAGTCACATGTGGCTAGTGGCTATCATACAGACAGTGCAAATAAAGAACATTTCCATCCAAGAGAGGACAGCAAGGGTCTAGAACACTTTCTGTGTGGAATTATGCAGCAATTGATGTTATCTTTTCTGACATTAAGCATGTATATAGAATGAGTTCCTTTCTATTTGCACCTGATGAGCTAATGAACTTAAAAATTACACATAAAAAATTCTTTGCTGTAGTTGGAGATGTAAGATTGTATTTAGAAAATTTGAGAGACTGACATATTTGTAGTGGAATGTGTAAGCCGTTTACAGCTCTCACTCTCTCCCATTATGATTTGAATTGAGTTAAAATGGCCTGGCCTGAATAAATAAAGGATATAATTTAATCAGCATGTTGTTTCTCTTTAGTTTGAACTTTCTTTCATGTGTCCACCCATCTATGTTTCTGAGGAGAATGCTTTTTTTTTAGCCTTCCCAACTACAAGCACATACTCCAGCCAGTCAGCAGACTCCCCCGCTCCCACCATATGCATCACCACGTTCCCCACCGGTCCAACCTCACACACCAGTGACAATCTCTTTGGGAACGGCCCCATCCTTGCAGAACAATCAGCCTGTGGAGTTTAATCATGCCATCAACTATGTTAATAAGATCAAGAACAGGTTCCAGGGCCAACCAGACATCTACAAAGCATTCCTGGAGATTTTGCACACGTATCAGGTAAGAGGGTTGCCCTTTCAGCCTGTCTTAACCAGTCACCCTCTAAGGGCATCTGGCTTAAGAAGAACTTGAATAACTATAGTTGATGTTCACTAATTCTTACTGGAAATTAACGAACTAGAAAGTATGACTGTATATAAAGCCAATTTGATTTGCCTAACTTAATTGCTCTGCAGCAAGCAGCCAGTCAAGATTTGTAGTTACTGCCCTGTGTAATGAAAGCTTGTTTACCTGGGAAGTTTGGAGGATGATTTGTGCAATATAGTTAATCTGCAGTAAAAAGAGAAATTTCTCTAATGCTTTGTGTTTTATCAGTTGGGAGTGGTCCCTGGGCATTCACAGTTACTGTCCTAGTTTTAAAAAGAATTGTCAGCCACCATCTACTACTTTCTCCAATGCTTGAAGTCAAAACAGGTGCCAAGAATAAGAACATAGACTTTCTTCTTAAGTGCATCCTCAATAGATAACATACAGAGCTCTTGTCAGATATCCCAGAAAGTATGCAAGGTGAGTCATTCAAAACAGTGGCCCTCTAATATGATCTTCTCCCATTTGCAAATTTCTATCAGAAAGAGCAGCGAAATGCCAAGGAAGCTGGAGGAAACTACACCCCAGCGTTGACTGAGCAGGAGGTATATGCCCAGGTGGCTCGGCTCTTTAAAAATCAGGAAGATTTGCTGTCAGAGTTTGGACAGTTCCTACCAGATGCCAACAGCTCCGTGGTAAGTTTTGTATAGAAAAACTACACTATTTAGGATTACTATCTCCTTTGGAAGCTGGAATCAGAAGAGGACTTTTCCTAGATGATACTCATTTGCTTTGATAAGAGCATTAATCCCTTTCATGTGTCTTAATCAGCTTTTAAGCAAAACAACTGCTGAAAAGGTTGATTCTGTGAGAAATGACCATGGAGGCACTGTGAAGAAGCCCCAACTGAACAACAAGCCACAGAGGCCTAGCCAGAACGGCTGCCAGATCCGCCGGCACTCTGGAACAGGAACTACCCCTCCAGTGAAGGTGAGAGTTAGCAGCACTTGCTCATTTGACTTGTGGGAGCAATTTTTGTGGACAAGGGCTCTGGGGGTGGTCATGTGTTCTTATCCAAAACATGTTGACAGCTGGATTCTGGATATTCAGAATGAGTTGGTGTATGTCACGAAAATTTCAGTGCAAAGCTTCTTATCTGGCTTTGCAAAAGAATGTTAGCCTAACACTGATTGCTTGGATTACTGTGCCTTTTTCAGTTCTTACTGGTTTTCTCTGTATTTTCTATCTTTTTTATTATTAGCTGTCATCTCATTTATTTTTTTGTTTGCTGCTAAGAGTTTTCAAGACTTACTCAATTTTCCCCTCTTCTGATTTGATGTTTTCAACCTGCCTTGTGCTAAGAAAGATTATTGAGCTTGATAGTTGTTTATGAAATATGTCAGTGATCTCTTGAGGTCCTCCTGTGCTTTGTGAGATCTCTTTGGTCTGGAGGCTTCTTCTGCCCAAGGTTCTTTGTTGAGTTGCCAGATCTTATCTGTATCATCTTAATCTCCATGGCTGGACCTTTTGGCTGTAGCAGAGGGAGGTCTTAAACTCCTGCTAGTGACCTGTCACATGATGTTTATTTTTACGGCAAACACTGATGATCTGCCTGCAGAAAGCTAAGCTTGCTGTCTTCTTTGATACAGTGCAGCTGTGGTAGGGGACAGCTAGGGGTACGGATTGAACATTGCTTCGGTGCATTCTAAAGCAGTATGTGACATGAAGAGATAGATGTGTCTGCAGAATTTAATTAAAGATAACAAAACCAAGTGGAATTTCTAACAGTAAGGGATGACTGGTGAAGAAGTAAATAACTACATGTTAGGTGTTACTGGCACTTCTGAAGGACCCTACTTTTTAGTGTTTGTGTAATGGTTTCGCCTTTTGAAATCACATTGAACTTGGTAATGGTTTATATTTTTTCACGGTAGTAGTAAGAATCAGTTCTCCAGATATGCTCCACTCTTGAACTGGTCTCCTCCACGCTTGATTACCCACAGGTGGAAACACTATATTGGGGGCCTGCAATGCCCCACCTACTTTCTCCTCAGGCAGTGTAAGCGGAGGCTATGGCTTCTAAGGGAGTGTACTCTGAGATCCCAAAGGTAAATGTGCTGGTTCTCACAATGCTTGTGCATTTCTTCACAGATAGTTGAGAAGTGTTTTTTTAAATTCTTGCTTGACTGGGTTATGTCATGGTCTGTTCATTTCCTTTAAAAGAGGAGTCTTTATTAAATTAGTCTGAATGGATATTGCTGACACGACAGGAATAACTTCTTTCTGTTAAGAAAATAGGAAAATAAAGTGCTTCCCCCACCTCCCATGAAAATTTTTAATTGAATTATTGGTAAAGGTTAAAGATAATTTATATCCACTCCAGGCAATATACTCCAAAGTACTTTTTCTGTGTCTACCAGCTAGGAAGACAAAGCAGTGGCATTAGGTTCCAGATAAAGTTGCTTTTGGCCTCTGGAAAAAAGAGAGGAAGGATATTAATTCTAAAAGTTTATCACTGGTAGTGCTGTGAGCGTTTGTATAGAGAACATATGGGGAATAGTATGGTGAACCTCTGGTCGAGAAAGAAATTGACAGGCAAATTGAAGTAGAGAAGTGTGGAAATCTTTTAGGGTATAAACTGAGTTAGTGGCTTGAATTCTCTCATTTGCTCCAGATTATCAATCAGCAATGGTCAGTGATGGAACTATTGAACACAGATGAAAATAAAATGGTTGAGAAGTCCACTCTCTGAATCTTATGTGTTTGTATTTTTCCTTTTTTGTAGAAGAAACCCAAATTGCTCAGCCTAAAGGATTCCTCTATGGCAGATGCTAGCAAGCATGGTGTGGGAACTGAATCCTTATTTTTTGATAAGGTGAGTCATGGGTAAATTAGATTTGATATCGGCTGTTAATGTCAAAAGAAAATCACCTCCACCCCCAAGAAGGTTTTGTTTTAGAGGCATCAAACTGATTAGGACTTTGTACTTTTTTGCATAGTTTCCAAATTGTAAATTCTTTCATTCTGCTTTGCTTTGGGAGGTGGTTTGTAGCAAAATACAGCATTTTCCATTTCCATAATGGAAGATAGCTTTTTAAAAAATGTGTGATATTCCTCTGGAATGATGTTTGGAGCTCCCCATCGTAGATATCCAGGTCTGTACAATGGGGAGTGTGGGTGCCTGTACCAGCTGTTGGGGACTTAAAATGACTAGTAATCTTCTAATTGCTGTGATACATAATTTGCAGTATGCACAGATAGGGTTCGTGGGGATTCTAATTTAATTGTGTGTTTTCAGAGCTCCCCAGGTGATTCCAATGAGAGCCAGAGTTGAGACTCCTGGTGTAAATGGTGTTGTGTAGTATGTTAGGCTGGCTCTCCTCCTGTGTCTGAAGTCAACTTGCTGATTAGCAGGTTGCTTTCATCAGGGTAGCTGGCAACTTTTGGGCTTCTTCCAAACCCATGAACCAGCCTGGATTGATCTCGTCATGATTTACCCTCTCTTGCACCTCTGGGTTGCAACTCCTGATTTTAAAAACCAATTTTTAAAGGCATTTATTAGATAACTGAGAAAATTTGAACAGAGTCAATATTAGATGCTATTTAGGAATTAAAAAAAAATAAGTTAGTATTTTAAGAGTAATGGTATTTTTTTTAAAGAGTGCTTATTTGTTAGAGATACATACCGAAGTATAGATAGATGAAATGTTGGGATTTGCTTTAAAATTCAGTAGTGGAGGAAATGGATATAGAGGAAACAAAATTTATTGTATATTGATCATTGAGGCTAGGTGAGTACATGGGATTCATTAGACTCTACTTTTGTGTATGTTTCAAAGCTAATAAAAAAAGTAAATAAATACGGTATATAGTACAAAAAGTGCAGTGCTCTTTCATCTTTAAGAGTACATATGCCAAAATCTAGAATAAGCAAATGCACACAGACAGAAGTTTATTAGTGATTACCAGGGACTGGGGGGAGAGGATAATGGGCGTTATTGTTTAAGGGGTACTGAGTTTTTATTTGAGATGATTCAAAAACATTTGGAATTGGATAGTGGTGATGGTAGTACAACCTGGTGACTGTAATTAATATCACTGAATTGTACATTTAAAAATGATGAAATGGCAAACTTTTTGTTTTATATATATTACCACAATAATTTTTTTAACTACGTATTCCATGCGGTATCTACCAGTTGATAGTTATGAAAAGTATATGAGAGCCTGGAGCGGGGGTTGTTGATTTGGTGAGAGTCTACAATCCCTACCAAAGGACCACATACTAAATATTTATTTGTGGAACTGTAGCTCCAGACTGGTCATCTGTCCACACTAGTTTTATTTTGTTTATCCCATTGAACGTTTTTAAAGTTTTGGGTATTAAAATGCTCAATATTATAAATGGAGGAAGGAAGAGATCATTATCGGGGGACAGAAATATCTTATTTTAAAAGATGATTATTCAGGATTACCAGAGTTTGGAAACATTGTTAACCAAGATTCTTGCTGTAAATCTGTTAAGAGAGGCAACAAAAACTTGAGTAACTGTGATATGGTTGGGAGAATGAAGCATGTGAGAAGGTAAAAGTCTTAGCTACTCTAGGATCTCACTTTTTAAATTTTTATTATGGAAAATTTTAAACATATATAAAATTAAAGAGAATAATAGAATGATCCCTCATCCAACTTCACCATTTCCCAACTCCTAGCCAGTATGCTTGTTCATATGTACCCCCACCCATCCCAGATGATTTGGAGACAAATCCAAGATACTATTTCACCCATAAATATTTTAGTAGTTTTCTTTTTAAAATGACTCCTTTTTTCAAACATAATCATTATCACATCTAAAAAAATTTACATTGATTCCTTAGTATCCTCAGATATCTGTCAGTTCAAATTTCCCCCATTTTTTAAAAGCGATGCAGGATCTTTTTGATTCCTCTACTTAACTGTTAATTTTTTGGTTGTCTCCATAAGGTCCGAAAGGCTTTGCGGAGTGCAGAGGCTTATGAAAATTTCCTGCGCTGTCTTGTTATCTTTAACCAGGAGGTGATCTCTCGGGCTGAGCTAGTACAGCTAGTCTCTCCCTTCTTAGGGTAAGTGTAATGAGGGGCTTAGCCCTGATGCAGGATACGGAGGTGAGATAATACTCACTTGGTTTGTGAGTGTATGAGAAGCAAAGTTAATTTAATTGAAGTGGGTCCATTGACTCATAAAATGTCAGTGTTAAAAGAATCCTCCTAGAAGTCTTCTAGTCCAACTGTAGAGGTGAGAAAATAGAAGGGGATTAAAGTACCTGTTGACTGCTGCCAGGAATGGTGGTCTCCTGATCCGGTGACCAGTGCTTAATGTATCCCAGGATTCTAGAATCTTGACTGTATTTCACAACCTAAGAATTAACTGAACACTGAAGCAGTGTTCTTGATCAGAAGTATGACTGATTATTGTGACTTTGCTGTCACCATCATAATTGATCTGAGAGAATTCTATAAGAAAAGGGGAAAACAAATGTTCAGAAGCAATGCTTTGAACTGCTTTGGCAGGAAATAATAACTGTCATAGGAATTTGCCCCTAGTAGCAGAGTTCTGACCCAACACCAAGTGGTGGTGGTCATATCTCAGGATAACTACGTCATGCTTCTAATTGCTTACCAGTTTTTGATTTGATTCTTCAGGAAATTCCCTGAATTGTTTAATTGGTTTAAAAACTTTCTGGGCTATAAAGAGTCTGTACATCTGGAAACCTTTCCAAAGGAGCGAGCCACAGAGGGCATTGCCATGGAGATAGATTATGCCTCCTGTAAACGATTGGGCTCCAGCTATCGAGCCCTACCAAAGAGCTACCAGCAGCCCAAGTGTACTGGACGGACTCCTCTCTGTAAAGAGGTAAGGCCTTCCCTAGTGAGGATCAGCCCTGAATCCTCAGATTCCTCCAGAAGGAAGCAGTACTAGCAATGGAGAATTTATATGAATGAGGAAATCAGGACTCTTTATCTTTTTTCAAAAGAAAACACTTATATTCATGAACCTTTCTTACTAATACGCTTACCTAAACTGGCTAAAGGTGAAACTTAAGAGTAATATGTTAGCTGCAGAGTAGTGTTTGTAGAGTAATGTTTCTCCCTTCCCCTAGAGTTTTGTCTTTTTATTGAGAATGCTTTTCAGTCTCTTCTTCTACCCACAGGTTTTAAATGATACCTGGGTTTCCTTCCCTTCATGGTCTGAGGACTCCACCTTTGTTAGTTCCAAGAAGACACAGTATGAAGAACATATCTATCGTTGTGAAGATGAGCGCTTTGAGGTACAACTCCTTTTTCTTTAGAAGCTAAGGGAAGTAGATGCTAAATGAAAAGGTATCTCAGATATCTCTCTATGAGGGTTGTCTTTTTAAGATTGAAGAGCTCTTGACATTTAGAGGATCACATTCTTCTGTGGTATATGCTTGTTGTGGAGCTTAACATGCTTTACAAATTTGTCAAATATAAGTAATTTTTTAATAACAACTGTGATTTATCTAGGCCACTTTAACAGAAATTGTCCTTTGATGACTGAATAATAATTCTTTGAATTTTTAATGGCATTTTAAAGATTTTTTGTGCTCATGTTTTATGTGATGTATAAAATTATACCTATCGGGTTTTCTTGAAGCTAGTTCTAATTATTTTAAGACCTGTGTGGATTGTTACTTGTAGCGCAGGTAACCTAGCAAGCCAGCTCTGCTGGGAGAACTGGAGTTTTTCTCTCATATTTCTGTATTGATTTGGCTCCTTTTGAAAGAAAGTTAAATTAGGGACTTTATTTTAAAGTAGCTGGGAAGGGAAAAGCTGGAGTGAATAAATGAGTTGGTAGAGAGCCCCTGTATCAGGAGAGGGAATACTGAACAGTTGGCTCAAAATCCACATTGAGTATGAGTGACTAATTCATTGATTCATCAACAAAAAGGGAATGTTTAGTGTGTTCAGAGAAGTAAAATTATGTGTATCCTATTTAATGTATTTACTGTATCAAACTGGCTCTGTTTCATATGGATGGGAGACATCCTACTCTTTTTTTTTTTTTTAAATCCATACTGATTTAGTTCTTTGCCAGTCTACCCCTTTTATACCTCCTCCAGCTGTTTCCAGTTTTGAATGAAGAGCCACATGTTGCTATTAGTTGGCCGTCTCTGCCCCAGTGTTTGAGGAGTTGCAACCATTTGCAGAAAATGAAATCATGACAAATGTTAACTTCCCTGGGAAGTTTGATCAGATTAAAGGAAGCATTTCTTTTTTTTTTTACTTGTGTTTGGTAATGTTAGATGTTGAGTTAGAGAGCAGAGCTTGGCCTCTTTTCTTGAGCCGGTGGCCCTATTCTCTCTCAGCTGGTATACCTGCATATGGGAGGTGACATCCTCATTTACTAGTCGTGACTACAAGGGTGAAGATGAAAGAAGTGTGGCGTATGTGCATGTGTGTATGCTTAGGAGTTGGTGGGATGGGCTAGTTTGAATGGGTTTTCCCTTTATTGGAATAGCTTAGGTAATGCTGCAGTACAGACAACCCCTAAACCTCAGTGGCTTGAAAAAAGAAGTTTATTTCTTGGTCATGCTACATGTGCATTGCTGTTTGACAGAGGACTCTGCTCATCAGAATCACTCAGGGACCCAGGCTGACAGAGTGCCACCATCTTAAATATTGCCAGTTACTAGAGGGAAACAAAGCTCAGAAGGGTCTCACACCCTTAAATGCTCTAGCTTAGAAGTAACAAACATCACTGGTACTCACCTCTTCACAACTCATTTGCCAGGACTAGTTAGTGGCCCTCTCCAGTCACAAGGGAGCCAGGAGGTTCAATCCATCATTTGTCCATAATTGTGGGGGGAGCGGGAAGACCAGAAATATTTTACAAAACATGATGACTGTCACAGTCCCGAAGCTAGAAAACCTAGGGAACACTATTCTGCAGACATTTGGTCATAGGTCTTTGAGACTGCTCATTTACATCATTTTCTGTACCTTAGAGAATCTTGTCAATGTTAAAGCTAGGGGAAAAGTTGTAGACTCAAAGTCATGTCCTTAACCAGGTCAGAAAATTAGTGCCAGGAGTTCACAATGGTTACCCACAGATGACATTGAACTCCTTAAGACTGATAGTCACTGCTCTTATTTCTACTGGATGTGGGACCAGGCTATTGAATGTTTTGAATAGCCTGGGCTACCCTCCAAAAAAAACTTACCCACGAGACTGATGTATCCCCTTGAGTGGTCTTTTTGAGATTGTTTTGATCGTTACTGTTTGTAACAGATCTTAGCGATCAGGAAAATTCAGGGGAAAGGGTCATTAAGGTTACCTCCTAATAGGTCCCTCTGGTCTGGCAGTCCTAGCCAAAGCACACTGTGGTAGTGGTAGAAATAATAACTACCACTTAGCTGTCATTTATCGGATCATTGTTATGCGCCAGGCATTGTGCTGAGCACTTTATGTGGATTATATCGTTAAACCTGTAAAACACCCTTATGTGAGGGTAGGTGCTGTTACCCCCATTTTACTGCTAAGGAGACAAGAATCTTACACAGCTAGTAAGGCAAAGCCAGGATTCAAATCCAGGGAGTTTGACTTCCTACCTTGTACTCCTGACCCACTTTTGTATTCTGCTTTGGAGCTGAGCATGCTTCTTATCGTCCTCTTTAGCTTGATGTAGTTTTAGAAACCAATCTGGCAACAATCCGGGTTCTGGAAGCAATACAGAAGAAGCTTTCCCGCTTATCTGCTGAGGAACAAGCCAAATTTCGCTTGGACAACACCCTTGGGGGCACGTCAGAAGTCATCCATCGAAAAGCACTCCAGAGGATATATGCTGATAAAGCAGCTGACATCATCGATGGTCTGAGGAAGAACCCCTCCATTGCTGTCCCAATTGTCCTTAAAAGGTACCTGAGTGAAGGTGTCTGCTGTGCTTTAGTATGATTTGTGACAGATTCAGTGTCCCATTAATTGAGGTTCTCATTTTTGACCTAGTTGTCCAAAGAGGCCTTCATTTCTTCCCTACCCTGGTTGTTGGAAGTCAGGTACAGAGTGGGATAATGGAGCTTCATGATGGGCTTCTGTGTAGCCAACACTCGAGAACTTGAAAAGTCCATAGTATCAGACCTGGTATGAGCCATGACCCAAGAAGGTAGACATTTCTGAATTTGTAACCCACTGGATTTATAGAGTGCTATATGTATTTGAAGGGGATAGTTTTAAATACAGAAAAGAACAGACAACCTTCCATGTTCCTACCACTTGGCACTATTGTTAACATCTTAGTTATTTGTTTTCTGATAAGAAAAATCACTCTTTGTCTTTGTAAAACTGTACATAGTCATTATAAAAAAGATTTCTACCATATTTACCAGCGATTTCTTACTTCTTTCTCCTAACAACCCTTCATGTCAGACTGAGGGGTAGCGGGGCGTTTGTACCCACCTAAGGTCAGGCATCAAGTAGTTAGGAGGCCAGAGAGCAGACTGAGCCCCAGTCTTCTAAGTCTGCAGCATTTCTAACTGCACTGTGAACCGTTGCTGAGAGCTGGGTCCTCTCTCATTTCATCTGGCAAAAATGTGTTATTGTTTACTGCACAGTTCCACAAATGCCCAGCTTTTATTGTTCTTCCCAGTCTTCCCCTCAAGAGCTGGCACAGATTGGTGGTTATTCCTCTTGTTGCCAGTAGCATTTACTTCTGACTTTTGAGATGTAGGCTGTTTTTCAGTTCTAGTGCTGTTTTTTATTTTTATTCCAGTCTTCTTTTCTGGAGCATTAGGATCAATTCTGATCAGAACTTCTCAGACTGTGTCCAAAGGAACATTACTGTGCAAGTTCTCTGCTCTTGGACTTTTGCATTCACATTATCATAGTACATGTTCTGAGAAGCCCTACAGCAAAGAAACATGTTTAACTTTGTTTAGTGAGGCTAAGGAAGGGAACCCTTTTTTCAAGGAATACTTACTGACATCTCAAGGGTATTTCGTGGAATGCTGTTTGAGAAATAACTATTCTAGGTGAGATGTCTGACTTTGGGACAAATTACTTCCCTAAAATAATTCCTAAATGAGTAACTTTGCTCACATAACAGTTCAAGACTGGTTTGATAATACTTATCTCGTGCAGTCAATTTTGACAGGCCTCATATCTTCCGGCTTTTGAAATAAAGTAGCTTGGCATAGAATTTACTTCTAAACTCTCTGAATTCCCCGGTGTTGTTCTTTCTGTCCCTCTCCACCTCACTAGGTTGAAGATGAAAGAGGAAGAATGGCGAGAAGCTCAGAGAGGCTTTAACAAGGTGTGGAGAGAACAAAATGAGAAATATTATTTGAAGTCTCTGGACCACCAGGGCATCAACTTCAAACAGAATGACACCAAGGTCCTGAGGTCTAAGAGCTTACTCAATGAGATTGAGAGTATTTATGACGAGGTGAG